CCTGCCATCATTAAATGAAAGTCTACTCCACTTTTACACAAAGTGTAAATTAAACCAGGTTAGAGTAATGTATTGAGTAGATATTCAACATGACAGGTCTAAAGCCCAATTTGAAATGTTTTACATTTTGAACAAGCCATTAAAGACCAAAACCTCTTTTCAAATCAAAACATCTGGTATAGACTTTATTCAATACCAAATCTGAGAAAATTGCTCAGTGTCTTGGAAATTGAATTGCTCTAAAAAACCTGCATACATTTATCTAAAACATCAGAGGATACAAGTAATTCCTTGTTAAATACAGAGCTCAGTATATGTGCATAAGATCCAATGGTGTGGTGTGGTAGCCTAGTGGTTAAAGTGTTCACTCGTCGGATAAGGACCTGGGTTTGATTCTCCACCTAGATACAATTCATGAAGCATTTTAGATTTTTCATAGGCACTGATCATCATGATTTATGGATGAGGATGATTGACCTGATTATGGTCACAAAACTGGCACTTCATGGACATCCTTATAATACAACTAGAACGGACACATGAATCTCCAGTGTCAGACATTATTCATTCTGGGGAAGTTTACAAGTGATGAATGACCATGCTGGTGATTTTGCTACAGATTACGTCAATGTGATATTTTGCAAACTGTAGATTCAGCAATTTTTCACAACTACTTATATGAATATGTCACATTGTGACAATGTTTATATTGATGGCTTCACAAACCTAACTGCAAATGATTATTAATCACACTAAGTGAGGATAACAAATACATACGTCCATTTATAGTGGTTAGGAATTATAATCAGACTACCACCTAACTTTACTAGTCTACAAACAAGTGTTGGGAATTGGTTAAAATCACATAATTGATGATTGGTTCATAACCATGATCAATCATCGAAAATAATTTGGTTAACGTCATTTATGAAATTTATTAATGCACACAAAAAAAAGGAAAAAAGAAGAAGTTATTTTGGGGCTTTTTTGGCAAAATTTCACATCTTTAAAGGATGACTAGTATGTTAGGAACATAAATTTCTTGGTGTATTTAGATAAATTCAATCATGACTTGGAACGAGCTTGTAGTGCTTATGAAATGTAACAGACAAAACCAACCTTGTGAAATATATTGTTGATGAAAACAAGTGTTCCAGAATTGTTTGTGTTCGATTATGAGAAAACATGATCCATTGCTTGGTCGTTTAGTCACTGCACCAATCTTCTATTATTTCAATTAATTGGACCACCACTAGTACAAACCAATAGCGCTCTTAAAGCATTGTTGGTTGGTTGGTTTCAGCAATATTTTGGTGGTCTGTTAATAATCAAGTCTGAACGAGACAATCCATTGATCAACAGCATCGGCATCGATCTACGCAATTATGATACAATGACATATGTCAACTAAGTCAGTAAGCCTGACCACCCTATCCTGTTAGTATATCAAATGTCATTTATATACAAAATTTCCCAAATAACTGCTGATTAATATTATTTGTTTATCTTATATTAGGATAGTGACAACTATGTCAAAATATGGTAGTTACAATCATCAAAATGCTCAGACCACCTTTTCAAACAGACCCTGGAGCATTTTTTACAAAATTGTCAATTCCAGATACAAGAAATATGTCAGGGTTCGAAATACCCCATATATTAGTGTGCCATGGCACAGTAAATATTGAAATGACACGGCTGAAAAATGCTCTCGGTGCCCTTTTGACACTCCTAATTTTTTAGAGACATAACTCACATTTAGTCATTTAATCCCCCAAACAATTATTTTTTCCAAACTCAGTAATACCATACATATTTGAATGCTCATAAACCCATTTCTTTATTTAACAATAAATTTCAAATGATCATCATCATTGTCATATATTCTAAAAACATGTGGGCATACTTGATTTCTGAAAGGCACACCTAAATTATTTGTCTGGTGCCCTAAGGCACACTTAGAAAAAAAAGTATTTCTATACCTGTATGTTCATTAGCTTTACTTGAAATCTTTTACAAACTGTTAAACAAAGAAAGAAAAGAGTCTTTCATGAACAGTAATTAAAGTCCATCCTTTGTATCACTTGGATGTGATTTAGTTTACAGGTTGTATTTTTCAGACCTTAATTCCAATGACCCTTTGTGCAATAAATTAGTTATTGCTTCAACCATTTGATTAAGTGATACTTTATTGAGTCATGGCTATCAATGATAGAGTACATCACAAGATGAAATATTCAGCTCATTTGACCATCTTATTAAATCCTATTCAACAAATGTGGCATAAACATCAACACCATTAGGTATGTCTGCTCCGCTGGGGATCAAGGCATGGAATGACACCTTCAGGTTACTCAACAGTATGTATCCAACCTGCTGGCTCAGCATTAAGTGCAGAAGATTAAGATTACAGCACTGAGGATATGAAGCCCTATTTCCTGATACTCAAGTGCACACACCACACAAGGAACTAACCTGGTGGGCGCTACACACGTTCAGGTGTCACCTGTAAGGGTCTTGCTTGACAAATAATAAACATGTTGTTTGTTGAAGGTTCAGTAACGCCTTAGCAATAAACCCTCACGACAAGTCTGATGCAAGTCACTTTAACACAACTTTATCTACCAGGTCAAATACATGCTCCACATTGAGCAGCTGATGATTACCCTAATACAGAGACAGTGTCTCTTGCCACACTATTAATTACAATATCTACGCTTAAACTGGAAATGGGCACCAATTGATCCTGCTTCAAAATTACATAATGATAGTGAGTGAGTGAGTTTAGTCTTACGCCACTTTTTAGCAATATTCCAGCAATATCACCAGAAATGGGCTTCACACATTGTACCCATGTAGGGAATCGAACCGGGTCTTCAGCGTGACGAGCGAACACTTTAACCACTAGGCCACCCCACCGCCCCTACATAATGATAACTGAGAGAACCCTTGAAATACTATTGTTTTATCTTTCTGTACATGGAATGCACTCAAATCTCAAACTATTGTATTTGTTCCTCACATATTAGAAGAAATCCTCAGTATTTGTCATTACTGGTAAATTGTAATTTGTTTGTTAGATGAATTCTGCATTCAGTATTATTTCAGATATCAGACTTATCAGCTGTAATTAAAAATGTAGCTTGGATAAGACAATCCAGACATTGTAATCATACGCATGATTATGAAGACCACACACAATCAACCAAGTCATGAGACTGACTACCAAATTTGTCTCTTGCTTTGGTGCAGGAAATAAGTCTAAATGAAAGACAAGCCAGTGGCTGGCAGTATCCCTTATAGTCCATGCAATAAGCCGGGCGGTGGGGTAGCCAAGTGGTTAAAGCTTTTGCTCGTCACAGCGAAGATCTGGGTTCGATTCCCCACATGGGTACAATGTGTGAAGCCCATTTCTGGTGTCCCTGCCGTCACAGATATTGCTGGAATATTGTTAAAAGCGGCGTAAAACCAAACTCACTCACTCACTCACCCCATGTCATAAGGAACACCAACACACAATCAACCAGGCAACATTTTGTGCCATCCTTTCTTTGTAAGCTTTAACATTAAGCATGGCACACTGGGACCTTATCTAACTTTAAATAGCTGTGGATTCTTTCAGAAAAATAGTTTTTAGTATTCAGAAATACCATTCATGCAATATACTTTTTATTCTAAAAATATTTTTATAGAAATGATATTGAGAGTGAGAGAGCTTATCTATATAATTTAATACTGATTTTAGGATTATTGACACCAAGAATGGTTTCATACATCGTGCATGCATATTAGTTGGGGTTAAAACCCAGCCAAACAGGTGATCTCTTTGACCACAGTACTACTCACCCAACTATCCCCTAAAATGTACACAATATAAAAAAATAAAATAAATTTCAACAATTTGGGTCATCAGATGCAAGTACCAAGAAAGTAAGAGTACCTGGCCTGAATACACTTGCAATGTGTATTCTATACACTTGTGTACACAAAATTGGCAGAGGGGGTAGTAAAAGTGAAGGAGAGCACTATTCCATTATTCAAACAGTGACCTACTTCAAGTGTACAACAATTGCAACATTTAACTGTATGCTACAGGTTATCAAGGGATGTATAGTTCATATGCAGGGGTATTTACATATGGATATTTCCCCAACCAGATACCTGTGTTAATATTTACCTTGTAGGTAATGTAAAGCTGAATCTCAAGCACTTGCCTACTTCATAACTTGGCTCAGCGCTCTTAATGGACCATATAAATGTTTGAGAAATGACTAGCGTTTGGTCTCTGATGTGATTATACAAGTCTGCAGTCCCAGGATTTTCACCTGTATACATGCTAAGCCCCGTCACATAATCATGTCGCTATATTCTTTCAGCAGCTAGGTCAAAGGCTGAATCAATACTTTCATATGACATGTGAAAATTTATGATGGAAAGTTTTAAACAACATCCTGGTTGCCTGTTGTATTATAAGGGTAATAATTAGCTGTCAAACCTGTCAATAAAGAAAATTATATCACAAATATGAATCTGGAGTGAGAATTACTTCACCTTGTTTAAACACACTGAAGTTTGATGTGAGAGATGCTTTATCATGGTCAGACAATATGTATTTCTCCTGTTTTACACACAATCGAGCAAAGCATGAATGTAAGGAACACATTTTTCTCAGTATTTTGTGTAAATTCAATTATTAAATAAAGAATATTCTTTTAAGAAAGCAACTTACATTCAGACAGCCATTAAATATTGTAAAAAGACACTATTAAACTCTGAACTACTCTGAAGAAATTTGAAATTAAATTTAATTAAGCCCTTACAATAAACTACCGGTATGTGAAATATATACCAGCATGTCTACTGAGACCAGCTACTGTCTGCTAATCAATAGGTGTGAATCATTGCCTACACAAGACTCAATGAAAACAGCTGACACAGCCGTAACACGCAGCATAATGACCCATATATACCGGTCATGATGATCACTTGCCGTTACTTACGTCTTCACAAGAAATGATGATCTGTGGAATCGGAAGACTCATAACACATCATTAACGCGGGAAACAGTCTCAATAAACTATCGTCCCTCTTCCCGGTGGAGTAGCAAGCTTGGCCAGCGTCACAGCCCGACAGCATTCACTCCCACAAGAGGCTACTCCATCAAGCGACACACGAGTTCACAGGTATTTAGGTGTGTACGTCGACCTATGTCCTCCACTAATGCTCAGTCACTGAATCCAGCACAGGTGGAACAAGATCCGTTTAATTTCACGAGTCCACATGTTAATAGACTGTCATTATTTGAATACACTTTCACCGTCCAGAAAATCACACACAAGATATTGACAAGTTTGTGTGATTAACAATGTAGATCACTTGAAACGTAGGACATTTTTATCAAAATTCACATGTTTGCACACAAAAGGATGAACTTGCTCAAACCCTAATGCACTACACACACTGACCAAGGAGTATTCTGTAGAGCCTTTGAAATTTATGTTCCCGCTGAACATATGTGACATGATATCAATACTGGCGGATTACCGGACCCGAATGAGACCTCATGCCGTCTTTGCATTCAAGTTTTTAACATTTTTTAAGAAAGGCATTTCCTTTTGGCGTGACAAGAAGTGACTGGTCTCTTATCTCATTAAAGATACTCATCTCAAATGAACTTGAATTAACATACTCTTTCTATCAAACGTTATAAAATCAAAGAACATTTTCACAAAAGATTGAATGATTTACTTCACTGTTCCTACAAAACACAATAAAAGCCAGAAACAACAGGATATATGAACACAGTTACAGTACAGCAGTTTATCAATACACGCTGAGAGATATATTTAAACATCAGTACCTTCAGCTAACACATAAACAGTCATAAATAGATTCATCTGAAACCTAATTAGTATTTATTATATATGCTGTGATGGCCCACTAATTAAGAGTATAACTTATTGCATCCAAAAAGCAGAATAGTAAATCTATTCGACTGTCATTAATTATGATAACTGTTTTCAGTAACTTCCAAAAGATTTCTTTACTGAGATATCCTTTCAAATTTCAGAAGGTCTTTTATCAATGTCATTTCTCTAACTTGAAGTTATGTTAACATTACATGGAGACGTAATCAAGGATCAAGGCCGACATGTGAACATATCCATGAAAATGAAATGATGCTCGGTCAAGTTGAAAATTCCAGTGGTTTTCGAAATCAATGAAAAACTTTCCCTCCAGAACTGGACATATCCTGAGTATTTGAAAGTCTTCTTATAATGGACAGAATTTCTTCTGGCGTTAAGAAATTGCAGCCACATGGGCCCACCTCATCCTGTTTGAGCAAACATGCCTACCGTCAGTTCACTGTTCATTGACAGATATGTCAACAAGTTGTGACACCACCAAGTTCAAGGAGACAGCCCACAACTTGAGTCTATTCATGAACACCACACTCCAATCTTAATTTCAAAAATTTGAAAAACATACGCACCACATTTCCACGTTCACAAACACTAGAAGTCTATTCACGAACTCAACACTTCGATGCGAACTTACAAATTGAAAAATTTACCGAACACATTTCATGTTCCATGTCCATTTTCGAAACTTGACAAATGCACAGCCTTATTTCCAAGTTCGCAAATAATTTTAAGCAGGCCAAATCAAGTCCACATACCTTAACTGGTAACCGTTTGCCCCTCTATTGAAATCGGGGCATTCAATCAATGTTTATACAATGATCGGGACCGATTATATTACCTCTCTCTCAGTGAACCATTGGTCAAGAATGTTTACCGTTATCATTTCAAATCGTGATAAAGCATTATATTGTGGTTAATTAACACAGGATTCCATGCGACCTGTTCTCATTTTGACTGTAAGAAGTTCATCCATTGTGGTCTCAGGCTTTTCAAAGCGGACATTCATGTACATGATACTTGAAGAAATGTTCGCACTTGAAGCAAGCATTTATTAACGTACTCTGCGTGTATTGATTCTGTTATTAATGCTCATCTTTTGGGCCTCTGAACATCTTAGCACAGACTCATAAAAATCTATTAATAATCTCCAAGTCTGTTATCAATCGTGATTGCTGTTATCAATTATGTTGAGAACATGCCTGGCACATCTATCCGAGTTTCCACTTGTGTAACAAGGCCAACGATCAATTAACGAATTAACACGTTTCATCTATATGAAGGCTTTGTGAAACAGTGGAGGTGATAATACATTAATTAACTTCCTGTTACTTCAGGAGCAGCTAATGTGTGGAGAATTGGTTTAAAGAGATTCTATTTTTTGAAAACAAGGCTGGTATGTCCAGATAGCCAATGAGCCCAAGAAATGTATGCAGACACATTAACGTTGACATTACTCACGTATCTTAAAATATTACCAGGTTAGATTTACAGATATTAACATGTCTGACTGTTCATCCAGAGCTTGATTTGAATACCAAATGGTCTAGTCATTCATAACCTGCCAGGGTGTGTGTAGCTCTGTTCACAGGCAGGTATTTGGCTCAAAGTTTGCAGAAATTGTTACTAAAAATTCATAAATTGCAATAAGAGATTCAAAATTCATGTTGATATAGTTCTGTATTATGTGATGGCTTGGTCTAATCAACTGGTATTTCACCGATACATTAATAATCAGTACTAATAACAAATGAAAGAAGAGTGAGTGAGTGAGTGAGTGAGTGAGTGAGTGAGTGAGTGAGGGAGGTATGGTATTTTATGCAGATTCTAGCAATATTCCTCCAATACCACTATGCTACCCCAACCTAAACACGCAGGAAGGGAGAGAGGCTTTGTCAAAATGTTAAAACATTTGCAGTTTTATTTTTATATAACCCTGAGCTTGAAATGTGGCAATGAAAAATATATTGACTGACATAATTGACAACTGCCCATCTAAAGTTTGTCTGACTGTTTTATCTTTTATAAAAGATGGGGGGTCTTTTCCACAAGATGGATGTCTGTAAATAATCGAATCTGGACCTGACAATCCAGTGATCAACAGCATGAGCAGCGATCTACACAATTAGGATACAATGACATGTGTCAACCAAGTCAGAAAGCCTGACCACCCGATCCCGTTAGTGGCCTTTTTATGACAACCCGATCTTCACGGGTTTGATCCCATTTCAAATATGCTTGCCTACTACATCAAGTGTCAGGGCTCCAGATTAGGGCCGTATCGGTGTATGTACGGATAAAAAATATGCACGATACGGTAGGAAATAATTTAGAAACAGTAGCAGATACGCACCACAGCAGTGGTGTATGGTCTTAGAATCATTTACAGACGTATTTATCTGAAACAAGTATTGTTTTATTGTTTTTTTACCTGTTTACACAAGACTCTGAGAGTAGCAATGTTGTGGTGCATATATGAAACGAAAGACAAGATTCAATTCAGTACTCTAAAAGTTTTTCCAGTACTCCAATATTTAAAAAATAAGGAGTACGTACTCCTGATGTTGAAAAATTATCTGGAGCCCTGAAGCATGTTGCCTCTTGTGTCAAGCATGTGATGCTGAACACTAATTCTAATGTGTTTTGCATTTTGAAAATGTTTTAGTCATTAGCATTTCACATACATATACTTGGTAGGCAAAGCTTTTTAATGATGGTATTTGTTCACAGACTGAAGTTTCAAAACAATATCATTAGTGGGAAAGGATAAATATAACGTTTAAAGAATATTCTGAAAGGCAGGTAAAAAGTGTTCAGCGTTCCTCTGAAAAGGGCACTTTGAAAGTTATTACTCTTTGTACAAAGAAAGTGAGTGAGTGAGTGAGTAACTGATTAGCAACATAGTTACTGCTGCATAAGCAATCTTGCAGATATTGCAGCGATTCTCAGAAAGACAATTATCTGATGGTATTTAAAAAGATAGTATGCAATATTCTTCAATTTTCTTAAAATCTTAAAAATATTCCTGTTTTCACCTTCCCAGCTTACTTGTCCCCAATGAGGCATCTGCATGGACAGACAATGTGATCCTGGTCACAAATGTTAACAAGAAAGAATCAACAGGACTCGACTGGAAACGGCCAAACACTATTCTCTTCCAGTTTACACTGCTGGAATAGAACTGATGTTGCAGAGGCTGTTCAGTAACACTGACTGACTTTCCTAGAGCTAGCTAATAGAATTTGTTATCGTGGAATTAAACATTTGTGTCAGTCAGAATTGAAAATTTATCTTCAAGAAAAAGAAGCCTAAATAAGGAAAATCAAGAAACAGGGACACTGAGCATTTGTTGAGAATAATTGAAGGCATTGTTAGTGATAGCACCCGTGTGGGCTTTGATAATCAGATCTACATTTTCTAAAGATATATCTTCCAGTGTTTTTAAGGGCAGATCAATTTCATTAAATTTTTACAGATCCACACGATTTATTGTAGCCATCTGAACAAACATGAAATACTGTATTGGGAAATAATCATTTTCAGAAACATCACATCTGACTGACCACAAAAGTTGGGTGTTTAATTTAGACAATTCATTTAGGCATCAAACTTATTTTATCTGAAATAAATATGTTTTATTTTTCTCTCTCATGGCTTTTAGCATTTTGGTGGGAAAATTTATACAACAAATCATCAGGTTGGTCCTCAGTTTACTATCCATGCCAATCAGGTCTATGACTCAAAAGACCCTTGTCCACATATTTGAACCACAACATGCTCTAGCACACATGCTCTACTTAAGACTTTTCATTTTATAACCAATAAATGTAAACCAAGAACAATTGAAAAAGAAGTACTAATTTATTAATACTAGCTTCTGCAAAGACATGTCCATTAAACCAGCTGCTCCAATCAGAGATGTTTTTTTACTTGACTGACCAATCAGAATTGAGAACTTTCCAGATTCATGGTAGAATAATGAATATTCTTAATATGAGCTATTGGAATTTCCCGTATCCACTAGGTCCTTTGATTTAGTATTTCCCTTGTGGAAACCTACAAATCTGAGCCAAGGAAAGATTGGTAATAATGTTGAGAAACGATTGCTCTGAAGGGGAACAGCTGACACGATGGTGACATATTGTCCATTTCTCATCTAAGGTAGTTGTGATTACACCATCAGAAACAAATGCTTCCGGTACTCAATTCATGTTA